ACAGGTCTTACAATGAAAGGGTTAAAAATCTCATTAAGTCAAAGTTTCCTGAGCAAATTTTTTATACCAACTTTAAACCAATCATAAAATTGTTCAAGTTGGAAGGAACCTTAAAGATTATCTAGTTGCAACCCTCCTGCATGGCCAGGGACATCTCCCAATAGATCAGGTTGCTCAAAGTTCCATCCAACCCAGCCTTGAGCACCTCCAGGGAGGGGGTTTCCACAACTTCCCTCGGCAACCTGTTCCAGTGTCTCACCACCCTCACACTGTAGAATTTTTTCCTAATGTCTAATATAATTCTCCCCTCTTCCAGTTTTTATCCATTACCCCTTGTCCTTTCACTACAGTTCTCACTCCCCAGCTTTCCTGTAGGCCCCCTTCAGGTACTGGAAAGCCACTATGAGGTCTCCCTGGAGCCTTCTCTTCTCCAGGCTGAACAACCCCAACTCTCTCAGCCTGTCTTCGTAGGAGATGTACTCTAGCCCTCTGACCCCTAAGGAACAGCACTCATCACTGATCTCCACTTGGACATTGAGCCATTGACTGCAACTCTTTGAGTGCAACCATCCAGCCAATTCCTTATCCACTGAGTGGTCCATACATAAAATCCATGTCTTTCCATTTTAGAGACAAGAATGTTGTGTGGGACAGTGTCAAATGTTTTCAGGGATCACAGAAGTGAAGCTCCCTTCTTCCTTCTCTTCCAACTATGGCCGGCGTCCAGGGAGGACTCCATCTATACATCTCCTTTAATCCCTAGGCCTGTGTGTTCCTGACTGCTCTATCTCTACCCTCAGCTCCTGTCTGCTCTGCTGCTATCTCTGGAAGTGGTCAGGGACTTTTCAGGACTGCCTCGCAGATCAGAAGAGTGCAGTAGGAGTTGTTGGGGGTGGGGGGAGGCGATAGGGGTTTTGCACATTCCTGCACATACTTGTATATATTTTCTTATCATTCATATTTAATTAAAGCTGTCTAGTTTAGTTTTCAATCCAGATGCCTCTCTCCCTATTCTCTCTCTCTGTTCCCTGCCTATGTAGGAGGGGGAGGGGACAGAGAGCATTGTTGTCATCCATCTAATTGCCGATCCTGAGTTAAACTGTGACACTTAAAGAAATGTTTTTAAAGTTAAGACTGGAATGACATGACTTTTTGTCTGATGTTTACTCTAATGTAAAAGCAAGCTTCCTTTTAATTAATAGAAAGAAGGGCTATTGATGGCTTAGGTACCATGCAAGTTCCTGAGAACAATTAGGTAGAAATTAGGACTTTTTGCAAAAAGGTGGCAGGACGATTAGCCCATATCACAACTACAACTCTCACCTAGCATTTACCATCAATTTACCACAAAGCAAGCAGCAACATATCATATACCCTACATACCACATGTAGGGCAGCATGTCAGTAAATAACTCTAACAATTACATAATGTGAATTGTCTGTTCAATTTCCAACACTTGAAGACTGTGAGAAACGGTTCTTCTTCCCCACGTAAGTCTAAACAAAATGCCTTTTAAGTCAGCAAAGGCCTTCTACTGATTATACCCAGCTAACGGACCAAAACCAGGCCTGCTGCTCAAGGACAAATGAAAGCAAAACAAAAGATGTCACACAAGGCAGGAAGGATAGGCAACAAGTTACGTATTGCCCCTAATAGTTACCGCCCTAACTTGGGGCTCATGGATGCTAATTGGCTCTGAATATCAGTATGCTCATGCATTGCGGCAGTAACACTGACTGGACAGGGGGTCACTGAGGTATAAAAGGCAACAGGTTTTGCAGGTGAGAGCGGCCTGCTCGGACGATTCTTGCATGGAACACCCCCCTGCTGCCTGCCTGAACCGTAATGGTGGGCGCACCAAGTTCTTCCCGCACCCATCAGGGCTGGAGCTTCTTTACTGAAAGGGTTATCAAACACTGGAACAGGCTGTCCAGGGAGGTGGTTGAGTCACCATCCCTGGAGGTATTTAAAAGACATAGAAGCTTAGGGACATAGTTTAGCACTGGACTTGGTAGAATTAGGTTAATGGTTGGATTCTATGATCTTAAAAGTCTTTTCCAACCAGAAAGATTCTGTGAATTATTTTTTTAAAAATATAAGCCTTAAATTGTTAAATACATAAGGAAAAAATAGGGGCAGAAAGTAATTTTTACCAGTTTCAGACATCTATTGTAGCATCTTTTTGCTTGGGATACCTTTGCCACCTGTGAACTTGTCAATGAAACACTATTTTCTGAACTTATTAACTCTCTGAAAATATAATAATACAGGAAGCATGTTTTTAGTGTTTCACAAAAAGGGCATTAAATACAAAAAAAAAATAACTCCAAGGTAATAATTTGAAAGGCAGGTCAGATATTCACAACTATATGGCAAGGAAATGCGTATGTCTACAACACATCTGAAAACTAAAATAATCTTTTAGAACCAATGTTTACTGTATTATAACTGACATTTCCCTGCTATGGTACTGGATTTTAATATTTTATGTGTGCACACAAACTGGTAAAATTTTATACAGAGGCACAAACTATTTGCATATGTACGTCAAAAAATATCTATTTGCCTTAAAACCTTATAACTTACTAAAAAATAAGAGTAACAGCTATAACAAAAAAAATATTAACTTAGGAGAAAGCAAGCATATTAAGTGTATTGTATTGTGGAACAAGTACAAAGTAGAAAACTAGAAAACTGTACAAAAATCACCATAATTCTAATAGAGTGTTTAAAATTGGTAAGGTTATTTTATCTTTATATTGGTGGATTACTATTTTCTGTACTTTATATACACATTAAACATTTAATTTTTCTGAATGGTCCTCATTCAAACCTCACCAAGCATAATCTAGTAACAGAAAAATAGACAAATACCAACATTTTTGCTATTTTTTTAAAATATGAAATATTATTCTTCTGTCGTCTTTGTATTAAAATTGAAGTACGGATGTCAATTACTCCCCCTGCCCCTTTCTGCTTTTTCCTGTTTAATTTTCATAAGGGAAAATATATATGGTTTAAAAGGGCATATCTGTGATTCACTTCCTAATACAACAGCTGCCCTAAGGAAAACGGTATTTCTTTTCCTCCCCTGTTCCATTGGCCACCATCTGCTTGTTATGTCAAAAGAGACAGGTTGGCATAACCAATGGAAGGGGATGTTTACTGAGCTTATCTTGGTGTGACCATGAGTTGAATGGAAGACACCTACTGCTAATGCTTTTAGTCTTAAGCACTAAGCCAAACAGATCATAGAAAACAATGAGTAATTAAACTTAGTGAGAACTCACCTCATTAACATACTAAAATAACTTCCCTCAGGCTGGAAGGACCCCCTACTCACAAAAGCCCCCGACCCTCTGAGCATGCAAACTGTGGCAAAATTTAAAAGTGGCCATCTCGGCAGCTCCCTCAGACCACACAGTGACCAGCAGTAGAGAGGTGATTGTCACCTTGTACTCAGCACTGGTGAGGCCACACTTGGAGAATTGCATCTAGTTTTGGGCACCTCAATTCAAGAGAGATATCAAGGTGCTGGAGTGAGTAGAGGGGGGCAATGAAGCTGGTGAAGGGCCTAGAGAATAAATCTTATGAAGAATGCTTGAAGGAGCTGGGAAGAGTCTGAGGAAGAGGAGGCTGAGGGGAGACCTCGCCAGCCTCTACAACTACCTGAAAGGTCATTGTAGAGAGGTTGGTGCTGGTCTCTTTTCACAGGTAATTAGCAACAGAACAAGAGGGAATGGCTTCAAGCTGCAACAGGGAAGGTTTAGACTGGATATTAGGAAATTAGACACTGGAATAGGCTGCCCAGGGAGGTGGTTGAGTCACCATCCCTGGATGTGTTTAAGAGCCGTTTGGATGTGGTGTTGGTAGATATGGTTTAGGGGAGAACTTTGTAGAGTAGGGATGATGGTTGGACTCGGTGATCCCAAGGGGCTTTTCCAACCCGAATAGTTCTATGCTTAGTGAAAAGTAAAAGAACTGCCACTTTAATTGGAAGCAAAGAACTAGTTAACCAATCATGTAGATGAATGATATCTGTATACTTAGAGATAAGGTAACTTTGTGTTTTCTTGAGTATAAAAGAAACCCTGCATTACAAGAAAGATGTGCTAGCTTTGTGGATTTACCACCTAGCACCCCTTTCTGTGCAGAACTGGAATAAAGAAATACCTTGATTCTGTGGGTAGACTGGATTATTGCACACCAGGTAAATGGATCCCATTTTGAGACAACACTTGGAAGAAACACAAAATATGATATTATCTTCCATATGAGCAGATCCCTTGTATGCCGCTGAAATAACAAGGTCAGCTACAATTTAGAGCAATGTGTAATGTCAATTAACTTTTATTTACTACAAACGCCTTATCGAGGGCATTTTTCAAAGGAGAAAAGAGCCCTTCAAACAGAGTTAGTTCCACAAGCATGCATCACACGGGCAACACAGCCTGGCAGCCAGCCGGGCAGGAGTCGAGCCTGGAGCGCTCCCGTCAGACCCCCCTCCACTTGGGATGAGTCCAAGCGTAAATAAAGGTACGTCACTGAAAAGAGGTTTTCAGGAAAAGGGGGGGAAACGAGACCTGTGCCAGAAAAGCACTTCGGGACAGCCTAGAAGCACGCTTCTCGCCAGGCCTTAGGCTGTGACTCAGTGCCGACAGTCCCCACCGGGTGGCCGCGGCCCTGGCCGCCACCACGAAAGCACAACCCCCCTGACCTGTCTTTCTACAGACCGCTCCGGAAATGCCGCGGCTGCTCCCCTCCTCCGGACCAGGCCCACCATATTGGGTCTGGGCGAAGCCCCCTCACGCTCCAGCCCCGTACTAAAGGGTGGGACCACGTGACCCACCCTCCCTATGCGGGAGACTCTGGTACCCACAGTCAAGATGGCACATAGGACCTTCTACCTCTTCCCTTTCCTTCATCCTCCCGACCGCTCTAGGCCTCTTCCTCACCCCACGTCTCTGTCGCTCCGGAGGCCGGCACAGGCCTTACTTACTCCGGGGGATAGAGACGCAACTCCTCGATATCTCCCAGGAAGCCGAAGAGAGACCGCATCTGTTCACTGGTCACTGCCGAGGACAGGTTCGTGACCTGGATAACAGACGTGGGGCCCAAGGGGAAGCCGAGCGGCACCCCGATCCCTCCGCTGTTCATCATGGCGGAGCCTGCACGACCACTCCGCTCCCGGCGGCGCCACACAACAGCCGGAGAGGCGGACCTGACGACAGAGAGGAGCGCGCGGCGCCTGCCAGAGCGTCCTAGCATGCGGGCGCTCTAGCGGCGAATTCGATTCCTCCTTGGAGGTGTTTCTGGGTGGGCAGCCGTTCTCGTGTCGGCTGAGGCTCACCGTGGAGCCGAAGCCCTCACTCCGCGCAGACGGGACTCCGAGTTCAGCCGCGAGGGTTCCCCTGCAAGAGAGGAGGGGGAAAAAACCCTCTCTTTCCTCCGGTTTCCTAATGAGCCAGCGAAGCCACTGTTGCCAGGGCGGGACTGTGTTCTCTTCTCCCCCGGCCTCCCTTCACGCACACGCTACCCGCCCTGGACTGTCAGGGGACCAGACCGCAGATCCTGCGGGAAGGAGCAGCCCCGGCGCTTGCATAGCAGAGAAAGCGAGCACGACGGCCCAGATGCCGCATGCAGCGCTCTGCTAGTGTGACTTGGGCGGTTAGTTAGCTCTATCATACATGGAAAAGGTGCAGCTGTGGGCGCGTTTAACTAATCCCTGCACGAATCCCGAGTACCTTGTTAATCAGTCTCCTCGTTCTTTAGCAAAGCGAAGGACTTATTATTTTAAAACCGAATACCAAATAATCTAGGTTATTAAAACCCCACTTTTAATAGATCCGGTTTAGTTCTCTTAATCGATTTGGCATGATTTGGCACTAAACACTCAGCCAGCAAGTTAAAATATGCCCACAAGAGACAGAAGGAAAAAACAGATTTCCAATTTAGATGCTCTTTTGGTAGCCAACTTCAGGAAGAAGCAGTTTAATTACCCTAGAGGATAAACCCTTGAAAATTTACCCTAACTACATTTAAACAGGAAGAGTTGTAATAGAATAGGTTGTTAACGGTTTTGTTCTACCCTGACTAGGAATCTTTACCAATTAAATTGATTTTACCTGAAGTTACAGTTCAAATTCTCTTTGAAAGGTAAATTGACTGTGTTGTCCCAAAATTGAGTCCATTTACCTGGTGTGCAATAGTCCAATCTGCACACAGAGTCAAGGTATTTCATTATTCTGGTTCTGCACAGAAAGGGGTGCTACATGGTAAATTCACAAAGCTAGTACACCCCATACAAACAGCTATGGCATGTTTAGCAAGCATCAAGATTTGCCTTTATTTACATTTATTGGTTAGCAACATCACTACCAGTCTCATTGGTTAATTGTACTCCCTGCTTCTGTTTAAAGACACAGTGTCCTTTTAAATCCAGGTACATGTTCAGTAAGAAGTGGTCTTAATTGGGGAGGGGGTGTTTCTTGAGTCAGTGGTCTCTATCTTCCCCTGCCGTCTTCAGTTTCTGTTGTTCCGCTGACCTCATGCCTTGTGGCACAATGTTTCCTTTGTTATCTCTCAAGGTTCCTCTTCAGGAGATTAATGGTTATTAAGGTACGCAAGCTACAGTCCTGTTATCTCAGTTCTTGTTAGTCCTGTGTCCAGTTTTGAGCCAGGATGAAGCCACTTTTCCTTTTACTGATTTTTTTTTTTTTTTTTTTTCCTTCAGTAAGCTGGGATGAGAGCATTTTTGTCGCTGGTTTAAGTGAGTCATACTACATGATCGTAGGGCACCTGGTGCTAAATCAGTAAAAAAAAATTGGCTTCATCCTGGCTCAAACCAGGACATCCTGTAACTCTTCAAGGCTATTATATAGGCCTTTACGAGCTTCTGGTATTCCCCAACAATCTTCCCTTTGTTATCAATTGGAGAAAATGAGACTGAGCACTATGCTTGTGGGTAATCAGTATTAAGAATTTAACTGCAGTCTTTCTTAAAGAACTGTGTATCTCAGCACTGAAAAATTTAAGGTTTCAGACATATATATTTTAGCTTTAAAGACCTTTCATACCCCAAACCTGAACTGAGAAGGGACTGAAGTATTTTTTAAGCTATCTGGGCTGAAACAAATAACAAATTTCTGATACTTTCCTGAGCAAGTAGGTCAGTTGTTATGAACTTTCCATAGATAAGCCTGGGTAGTGCTTCCTTTATTGATGCTTAATATGTTAATATGTTAAGTAATTCCAAGCAATTGTCAGAAATTTATTCTATTTGAAAATGCCTATGCATATGTTTCAGGTAGTACTTATTTCAAAATGCTAATCAGTGCACTCATATTCTTTTTCTAAATGGAATCCAGATTCCAAAAATACGAGATTTAGGTTCCTAATTGTCACTGTTTGACTCAGGTCCGACAACAATGCTCTCGATCCCCTCCCCCCCCAACCCAGGTAGGGAAGGAGAGAGAGAAAAAGAGAGAGACTTGGCTGGATTGAAAACTAAACTACACAGCTTTAATTAAAACACTAATGAATCATACAAGAAAATATATACAATTATATACAGATATATTCAGGTATGGGCAAAAACCTCTTGCTTCCCCCCACCCCAGCAACTCCCACAGCACTTCCCTGAACTGGGAAGAGTCCTGAGGAATCCCAGAGCTGCTGCTGGAACAGAGCAGAGAGTTATGGGGGTCAGAGAACTCGAACCTAAGGGTCGACGATGATGGATGAACAGAGTCCTCCCTGGACGCCGGCCATGGACGGAAGAGAAGGGGAGAAGAAGGAGGAAGGAAGTTGTCTTCTGTGATCTCTGACCTTCCTTTGAGCTTATGTAGATATATGGAATGGAATATCTTTGGCCAATTTTGCTGTCTGTCTAACTCAGCCTCCTACGGGGGGGTCACAGATCTTCCCATAGTGTCTGAGCCGGCAGAGTGCAGGTGCAGCCTTGAAGCCTCAGTAGTTAGAAAAACATTCCACTGTCTTATCAGCCTAGCAGAACACACTGTTGCTAGTTACAAGAAAGCTTACTGAAGGAAAAAAAAATCAGTAAAAAGAAAAAATTTGCTTCATCCTGGCTCAAACCAGGACACTAATTAAATCCTTCCTTTCAGCCACCCTGATAGCTTCTTAATTAGCTTAAGCTTAGAGAAGTTTAACTGGAGAATTCAATTGTTACATATTATGCAAAATTAAACTATGGTATGATGATTTTACCTATAGGAACATTACATTAAAATGTCCTGTGTTTTGACTAGTACATTTAATCCAAAGACAGTTAGCAGAGGTACAGAAGCTATTACTGTTTTGAACATTTGTGTCCTTTCTCCTTGGATCTCTCAGTAGAGGGGACCAGAAAAATGAGCTCTCAAATTCACAAAGGGAAAAATTCTGTACTGTCAGAAATGACTGGGATACCTCTTCTCAGGTGTCACCGGTTGACTCAGGACTGACAACAATGCTCTCAATCCCCTCCCT